ATGGCCTACATGGAGACCTGCACTAGCAAAGTGATCACTGCAATATTGGTTAAGGTTTGTTTTCAATGGCAGCATTCTATTTCAGCAAAAAAAAGAAAGGTAACCTAAAACTGGTATGCCCAGGGTACTGAGATGGATTTCTAATTTTCATTTCACCTGGTATTTTAAAAAGCTGGCCTGTAAGTTTTGTTTGAGTATTGACCCAGGGTTCTTTTAGCCTTTGAAGTGAAAAAAGAGTTCTAAAGAAAATTGCTTGTCCTGCTAATTTTGCCTGGAGCATTTAATTTGAGTGTTAAATGGAATGTGACCTTATTTGTATCACACTCTTGGTGATGTAGTAATACTGGTTACCTCTATGCTATTTGTAGTGGATGACCACTGACTGGTTGCAAATTCTTCTTCCCTTGGTTTTGATACATAGCATTAGGTATTGTGTCTTCCTTATTATTATTATTTTTTTAAATCTTTTTTTCTTCCCATCTAAATGCAGTAACCCTCAATAACTAGGCTTTAATCCTCCTTATTTCTTGTTGTGTACTTTATCTTTGGCAACTTCAGATTTCAAAGATTTACACTAATTTAAGGCTTTTTAATGCCTCATAACAAAATCAACTGTTACCTGTATTTCTCTGATTTATTTCTATTAATAATTGCCAAAACAACTCTTTTTGATTACCATGTTTCTAGTTCCTTGAAAATAAAACCTTGGAGACATCTATAATTTCTCCCTCATCCTTAGTTCACATCAAAGTAGATACATATGTGACTCTTTTCTGTAGCCTTACATCTAATTAGTTGTCAGGTCTGTTTATTTCAGTATCAATGATTTTTTTTTATAAATTCTCTCATTTCCATTCTGTCATCAGCCTAAACCAGGCTATATAATGTTTTACTTTTATTATGTCATCACTTATGATTAAATGTCATCCCTCATGGCATGCCTTCCTCAAACTAATTCTCTTCTGTGTACCCTGCAAATACTATCCAGCTTAATAATTCAAAGGAATAGCTCTGATCATACAGTAATACTCTCCTACTCAGAGATTATCACTAATTGCTCTTTGCTTATAATATTGTTTTCTGAAGCATTCTTTCAAAATGGGTTTCAATAGTTAAACAAGTATAAAATCTTTGTATAAATACAATTACAAGGTTTCTTTACTAGAAAACTTCTCAGAGCCTTTTATTTGCTGGGTACTGGTTGTTGTTTTGTTTTAATTATTGTAAAGTAACTCGTAATACTAATGTTTCTTGGAGAACCCACGAGAGGATGTGTGTCTACAGAATTGTAGCAGATTTTTAACGACAATATTTTTTCCAGAGTGCACAGTTAAACTGTATTTCCCGCATCCCTTTTATTTGTATAAAGTCATGTGACTGAGTTCTAGCCAATAGAATGTGAAGGAGGTATATGTGCCATTTCTGAGCCATGATTTTTAAGAATGGTGCAATCTCCACAGTGTTTTTCCCCTTGGTTGGTAGTATATGGATAATGGTGGGGGCCTAGAGGACAATTGCACTACAAAATAAGAGGCCACAGTCTCCGAGTCACTATGTGGAGGAAAGCTGCTTGCCAACGAGAAACTTCCATCTTAGATGGTTATGAGAATGAGAAATGAATTTCTATTTTGTTCAAGCTGTTGTATTTTTCGATTCTATTTGTTTTACCAGCTAGCACAACCCCAATAGATAAAGGTATGAAACTTAAATTATTTAGCCTGGAAATGCAAAGTTCTTCACAATATGGGCACCAAGTATCATTTAGAACTATCTTCTACTGAATAACAATAGCATATATTCTTAGGGTGGGCCCAAACTATTTATTCATGATAGTGCTTTTGTTTACAACATCTCTTTTTTCCATTTAAATTTTTTGAAATTTAGACTCAGCTTAGATGTTACTTTCCTTTTTTTTTTTGAGATGGAGTCTCATTCTGTTGCCCAGGCTGGAGTGCAGTGGTATGATATCAGCTCACTGCAACTTCCACCTGACAGGTTCAAGCAAATCTCTTGCCTCAGCCTTCCAGGTAGCTGGGATTACAGGCATGCCTCACCACGCCCAGCTAATTTTTGTGTTTTTAGTAGGGACAGGGTTTCACCATGCTGGCCAGGCTGATTTCTAACTGTTGACCTCAAGTGATCTGCCTGTCTCAGCCTCCCAAAGTGCTGGGATCATATGCGTGAACCACTGCACCCCGCCATAGATGTTACTTTATTAATTCTAATATAAACAAGAAACATTTGTTACCAGTAAACTCAAACTTTGGTTTAGCCTTGTTTTAAATGAGTGAACATTGAGATCTTTTCAGTATGGTCTTCAGGGTCAGCTATTTTAGAACCACTTAAGGTACTGTGCAGAATCTAGGCGATCTCTCTCCTTTTCTGTGGCACCTTATGGCTCTAAGTCTAACTGCATCTCCCTCTCTACCTTGTAGCTAAGGTCTAAGGTCCTGAATATGATTTGGGTTCTGCTAATGAAGTGTACCTATATAACAGAGGGACAAGTGATATTTCTGTTGAGTTGTGTTGTTGCCAATTGACACACATGCTGTGAAGATCAAACATTTTGCTAGTGGCTGGGCCCTACATTCTGCTAGTTAATAACCCCTTTCAATGATGGTAACTGTGGTGTGGAGTGGCAGCATTTGAACCACTGGATTGCCACTGCAATAGTATATTCTTGAAATCACATGTCCAGTGGCAGCCCCCTGATTATCACTCCTCAATTAATCCTAAGTATTTTGGAAATATAATTTTATTAAAATGCCTCTCTGTTTAAAATGGTTAGAGTGGTTTCTATGTCCTACAATAAATCTAGACTAGTACAAATTCCTAGATTCTACCCTAGACTATAGAATCAGAAAATATGTAGATAGAAACCTCATATCTGTGTTTTAACAAGCTCTCCATGTGATTTACATATTTTCTAAAGTTGGAGAACCACTAATTTAGACAGTCCAGTTTTCTTTACTTTCTCTTCTATAGCGTATGTAAATGAGTACAGTTAGCAGTACAGAAAAAGTGAATCTGTCAGAGAAAGGCCAACACACAACTTAGGCCTCTAAAATATGTTAACTTCTTACCATGTTTTAATAGCTTAATTCTTTTTTGTGCACATGCCCATCTGAGTTAATTTTAAAAAGCTCAAAAATTCCAATGTTAATGCTTTTGTTGTTTGACCTTAGAAGCTTTGAAAAATAATACTAACAAAGTCATACTAGTTGCTTTTTTATAACAATATATATACTATTTACTGGATTGAATTGTGCCCCCGCCAAAAGGATATGGTAAAATCCTAACCACTGGTAAATAAGGTCTTTGTAGATATATTCAAATTAATATAAGATCATAGTTGATTAGAGTGAGACCTAATCTAATATGACTGGTGTCCTTAAGAGAAAACAGAGAGACTCCCATGGGAAGATGCAGAGACACAGACACAGAGGGAGGGCAGCCATGTGAAGATGAGAGCAGAGATGGGAATTGTGCTGCCACAGTGTAAGGAATCCCTGGGGTTACTAGAGGCAGAAAGAGATGAAGAAAGATTCTTCTCTAGAGGATTTGGAGGGCACATGGCCCTCCTCGTCCCTTGATTTTGAACTCCTATCCTCTAGAACTATGAGACAATACATCTGTTTTCAGCCACTCAGTTTGTAGGACTTTATTATGGCAGCCCAAGCAAACTAATGCGATATTGAATGATAAAAAACAAACAAACAAAAACAAAAGCAAATTTGTCATAGACAATAGCATATGTTTCGGTATCCTGATATCTTTAGTCACTAACATTTGTTTTTCTACCTTTCTCCCTTGAATTGTATGTAAAATTAACTAATATTCTTTTCATTTCTTTTATATGTGGCTGAAGAATGTTTTCATTATCTTGTCTCCAGGAATGTAATAATCAAATATCAACTTCTCATAGTTGGTAAAGATTTAAAATTTATAAGGAGAATAATAGAAATAATTCTAGAGAGGCTATGAAATAATAAAATATAAGAACTTGAGCCATTGAAATTAAAATTAAAAGTGAAAGGAATATGAGTTGGTATCAATGCAGTTTTTCATACATTCTATATGCATAATTAATATGTGTTTTAAAAATAGGTATGTCTTATTTGAACTCACTTTTCTCTAAAAATATAATACTTTAGACAGTGTCATTACAATTAATCTCTTTATTAAGTGTTACAGGTTTTTGCTCAATCAGTTGTGAATTGTGTTGAAAGCAATTTTCTTCTTTCTCAAAAAATAAATAATATAGTGAATAATTTGTATTTTAAACATATTTAAGTGGATTCAAGTTACTTCTTCAAAAATGTCATCTTCAGTGACACTCGATATTCTTTGTGAGTAAAGAAAGTGTTTTGTTATATTTAGCAAAACTGAAATTTGTACGACAGGGCCTTAAACCTGAGAGTTTGTGTGTCACACAGCAGGGAAAAAATAGTTTGAGAGGTGCAATATTTTTACAATATTTTTCTAAAAATATTATCTATACTATTTAAATAATATTTTATGTAAGTGTTAATAACTGAATATTATAGAACTTTCATGGTATGAAGTAATATATGCAATTCCATCAATTATCATTGTTAAGAAATGTTGTATATTGATTTATTCACACTATAATTACTTTGAGAAAAGCACAAATGTAAAGTGGAAACACTTTACTGTAACAGAACTCAAAAAAAAAAAAAAAACAATGCCCATTGATGTCAGACCTCTGAGCCCAAGCCTGCACATACATATCCAGATGGCCTGAAGCAACGGAAGAATCACAAAAGAAGTGAAAATGACTGATTCCTGCCTTAACTGATGACATTACCTTGTGAAATTCCTTGTCCTGGCTCAGAAGCTCCCCCACTGAGCACCTCGTGACTCCCACCCCTGCCCCTGCCGACCAAAGAACAACCGCCTTTGACTGTAATTTTCCACAACCTACCCAAATCCTATAAAACAGCCTCACCTCTATCTAATTTTGGTGACTCTCTTTTCAGACTCAGTCCACCTGCACCCAAGTGATTAAAAAGTTTTATTGCTCACACAAAGCCTGTTTGATGGTCTCTTCACATGGATATCCATGACATTTGGTGCCGAAACCCAGAACAGGAGGACTCCTTCAGGAGATTGGTCCCCTGTCCTCATCGTCACTCCATGAGGAGATCCACCTATGACCTTAGGTCCTCAGACCAACCAGCCCAAGGAACATCTCACCAATTTTGTATCGGGTAAGCGGTCTTTTCACTCTCTTCTCCAGCCTCTCTTGCTACCCTTCAATCTCCCTGTCCTTCCAATTCCAGTTCTTTTTCCTCTCTAGTAAAGACAAAGGAGACACATTTTATCTGTGAACCCAAAACTCCGGCGCTGGTCACGGACTCGGGAAGACAGTCTTCCCTTGGTGTTTAATCACTGCAGTGATGCCTGCCTGATTATTCACCCACACTCCATTGGTGTCTGATCGCCACAGGGATGCCTTCCTTGATCATTCACCCATGTTCCCTTGGTGGCAAGTCAATTGTGGGGATGCCTACTTTGGCTGCTCACCCACATTGCAACCCAGGGCTGCTCACCACTCCCCTTCTCTGTGTCTCTACCCTCTCTTTTATCTGGGCTTCCCTCCTTCACTATGGGCAAACTCCCACCCTCCATTCTTCCTTCTTCTCCCTTAGCTTGTGTTCTCAAGAACTTAAAACCTCTTCAACTCACACCTGACCTAAAACCTAAGCACCTTATTTTCTTCTGTAATACTGCTTGACCCCAGTACAAACTTGACAGTGGTTCCAAAAAGCCAGAAAATGGCACTTTCAATTTCTCCATCCTACAAGATCTAGATAATTTTTGACATTAAATGGACAAATGATCTGAGGTGCCTGATGTCCACGTCCAAGCATTCTTTTACACATTGGTCCCTCCCTAGTCTCCGCTCCCAATGTGACTCATCCCAAATCTTTCTTCTTTCTCTCCTGTCTGTTCCTTCAGTCTCCACCGCAAGCTCTGAGTCTTTTGAATCCTCCTTTTCTATGGACCCAACTGACTTCTCCCCTCCTCCCCAGGCTGCTCCTTGCCAGGTCGAACCAGGTCCCAGTTCTTCCTCAGGCTCCGTTCCCCGACCCTATAATCCTTCTATCACCTCCCCTCCTGACACCAGGTCTGGCTTACAGTTTTTGTTCTGCTATTAGCCTTCCCCAACCTGCCCAACAACTTCCTCCTAAAAAGGTGGCTGGAGCTAAAGGCATAGTCAAGGTTAATGCTCCTTTTTTTTTTTTTTTTTTTTTTTTTTTTGAGACGGAGTCTGGCTCTGTCGCCCAGGCTGGAGTGCAGTGGCCGGATCTCAGCTCACTGCAAGCTCCGCCTCCCGGGTTCCCGCCATTCTCCTGCCTCAGCCTCCCGAGTAGCTGGGACCACAGGCGCTGCCACCTCGCCCGGCTAGTTTTTTGTATTTTTTAGTAGAGACGGGGTTTCACCATATTAGCCAGGATGGTCTCGATCTCCTGACCTCGTGATCCACCCGTCTCGGCCTCCCAAAGTGCTGGGATTACAGGCTTGAGCCACCGCGCCTGGCGCTCCTTTTTCTTTATTCAAGTTATTTCTTCAATAATGTCATCTTCAGTGGCACTCAGATATTCTTTCTTTGTGAGTAAAGAAAGTGTTTTGTTATATTTAGCAAAACTGAAATTTGTATGGGAGGGCCTTGAACCTGAGAGTTTGTGTGTCACATAGCAGAGAAAAAATAGTTTGAGAGGTACAATATATTTACAATATTTTTCTAAAAATATTTTTTTTACTATTTAAATAATATTTTATGTAAACATTAATAACTTTGAATATGGTAGAACTTTCATGGTATGCAGTAATATATGCAATTCCATCAATTGTCGTTGTTAAGAAATGTTGTATATTGATTTATTCACACTATAATCAACTTTGAGAAAAGCAGAAATGTGAAGTGATAACACTTTACTGTAACAGAACTAAAAAAAAAAAGTCCATTGAGACATTTTTCAGCCTTTATATGACTTAACAAAACATTAGTGTATTTAGTTTTCTTTGTAACATCTAACTCTTTTAAAACTTATTTTTAAAGTCAGAAATGTTTACTTCAGGAATAATTTCTCTCCTTACTCTGTTTTCAGGCATTATATGTATTAGTTTCCCAAAACCTTGAAAAGAGAGGTATTCTGAGGAAATATGTCATTTCTAATACATACATATATAATTCATTTTCTCTCTTTTATATATCCAAATTTTTATTGGTATAGGTTTCTTTAACAGGGAGACTATACATATTCCCAAAAAGTCTTAGGAAATTAATAAAATTAAGAAGAAATTACTAACAAAATTTCAATTTTCTTTTAATTTTTTGAAACAAGCAGTATTCTATGTTAAGCATACACAAAAGTGAATTATAGAGAATTGGCATAATTTATATTTTCATTTTGAAATCTTTCATTGAAAAATAGAAATTGTATATATTCAAGACATATAATGTGAAAATTTGATATACATAGACATTGTGAAATGATTGCCACAACCACATTAGTTAACACATCAACTCATGCTGTACATTAGCTTCCCCAGAATGTATTCGTCTTATATCTGAAAGTTTGTACCTTTTGACAAACACTTCTCTATTTTCCCCACCCCCTAGCCGCTGACAACCACTGTTCTTTCTACTCCCATGATTTCAAATTTTTTAGATTCTACATATATATGAGATCATACAGTATTTGTCTGTCTGTATCTGGTTCATGTCATTTAGCATATTGCTTTCCTGGGTCATACATATTGCCACAAATGGAGGAATTTTTTCTTTTTGTGGATGAATAATGTGCATTATATGTACCTCATTTTATTTATCCTTTCTTCCATTGATGGACTCTTAGGCTGTTTCGATATCTCGGCAATTGTGAAAAATGCTGCCAATGACCATAGGAGTGGAAATATGTGCAGATATATGAGACACTGGCTTATTTATTTTTGCCTATATACCAAGAATTGGGATTACATGGTAATTGTTTAATTGTTTTGAGGAGCCGCCACTCTGCTTTATATAATGGCTATACCAGTTTACATTTTTACCAACATTGAATAAGGGTTTTCTTTCTCCACATCTTTTCATATCTCTTGTCCTTCTAACAATAACCATCCTACACAGGTGTGAGGTGATGGCTTACTGTCTCAGTAACTATTATTTTGGACATGAGACCAAAAGCACAGGCAAAAAAAAAAAGCAAAAATAAGGAAGTGGAACAACTCAAACTAAAAAACTTTTGCACAGCCAAGAAAACAGTAAAATTGAAAAAGCCACCTATGGAATGAGAGAAAATATTTACAAATGGTGTATCTGATAAGCGGTTAATAACCAAAATATAAAAGGAACACATACAACTCAATAGCAAAAGCCAAATAACCTAATTAAAAACATGATTAAAAGACCTGAATAGACATTTTTCCAAAGAAAACATATACATGGCCAACAGGTACATGAAAAGGTGCTCAAAATCATTTCTTCTTTAAATGTTTGATAGAATTTAACAATTAAGTCATCTAAGACTAGTGCTTTCCATTTTGGAAGATTGTTCATTGTTGATTCAATTTCTGTAATGGATATTCCAATAGTCTATTCTTCTTGTGTAAGTTTTATAGATTGTGTCTTCAAGGAATTGATCCGTTTTATCTACGTGGGCATGCTATTGTTTATAATTTTCCTTTATTAGCTTTTTAATGTCCATGGGATTAATTATGATACCCTTCTTTCATTTCTGATATTCATAATTTATATTATTTCTCTTTTTTGTTTGTGATTTTGCTAGGAGATTTATCAATTTTGTTGGCCTTTTCAGAGTCAGCTTTCGGTTTCATCTATTTGTTTCCTATTTTTGATTTCATTGGTTACCCCTCCAGAAAAAATTGACCAAGATACATGCAGATGAGGTAGTGAGTTATTGGAAGAGAAAATTATTAAAGGGAAATAATAAGATTGATTTTCTAGTTTAACAAATGAAATCCTATTTTTAACTTCTCCCTGTTTTCTAAGAAGAGTAGATACTGTTAATTGGAGAGCGTTTCCAGAGCAATATGATTGGTCTGGGGATGTAAGTATTAGATAGGAGCTGGGGAACAACTCTTTGTAGTAAGTGGAGAGAAATTCAAAGTCCCTCCAACAAAATCCAATATAAAAAGGAGACTGAAGAAAGCAAGGTCATATGCTACATGAGTAAGGTGAAGGAAGCTAGAATCCTTGGTGGCAGCATGGTTACAAAGAAATTTGGAGAAAAAAATTTTTGAAAGGATTTGGAGCCTGCTTTGGGCTGTTGGTATATTCTATTTCACACAAAAATTCAATAAATTATAGAGTTTACTAATGTTTAAGAGAGGGAACATGCCATTGAGTTGCTCATTTGTGCTATAAAACAATTTTTAAAAATAGTACTATATTTTAGTCGATGATATATTTATTGTAAGAAGTGTGTAGATGTGGAGTTCCGCTTTATGCAACATTGGACTAAGTAATGTATACAAACCATCCACATTTAGTTTGATTACTCTGCATTTGGATTATAGCTTATTGTTTCATTGTTCTATGGGACTCTTTGATATTTACCCATTTTAATAAATAAATGTGTTTTTCAAGCAAGGCAAAACAAACATCTAACAATAAATTTAAGATTCGTGAGAGGCTTTATCTTTTCATATGCATTACAAAATATATTTATTGTGATTTTAAGACACCTGGATACATGCATCTTCAGCTTACAAGATTTAAAATGCAGCTGAAAAGCAACTCAATAATTTTTTTTGATACCAGGTATTTTTTACATGAGAAATATTGGACATATCTAGACTACATTCCTCATATTACACTCCATTTGTCTACTGACATTAACCTTCCTACTAGAATCTTCCTGACGTTAACCTTCCTACTAGAATCTTCCATTTTCTGAGGAACTTAATAATGCTGAAGCAGATACTGTGGTTAGGTTTCCCAAAGTCATTTATAACTCCTTTCTCTTATCTTCCTTTATACTTCTGACTGAGAAAGCAAAGTATTTGACCTCTCAGTGTCCATCATAGCAATAGACGGCCATATGACATAGTTTTGGCCAATGCTGTGTAGATACAAACCCTAAAAAAGGTTTTTATTCTCAAATAAAAAGACAAAAGTTCCACAAGGATAAGGTCTCTTGTACTTTCTTTCCTAGTTTTGTCCAACAATATAAATATATCTAGAGGAGC